AATTAGATAATTACAAGTTAATAGCCTTTGGGTTCCAAAATGAAAGCATAGGCTGTTAATTTCGAGTTAGTAGCCTTGAAGTTTTATAAAAGTAACACGAACTTTGTAATTTACAAGCGAGTAGCCTTTGACGTTCAAAATAAAAACACAGACTGTCAATTTCGAGTTATTAGCCTTGGGGGTTCATAAAATGGACTGAAACTTTGTAAATTACAGCTTCTGTAATTATCTAACCCCAGATTACGTAAAGCACTGGCCAACATTTAAGGAAAAAATGCAATAACAAAATGAAAATTGGCCCAATTGCAATATTGCCTAAACGAAACGCAGTATTACGCCAAAAGAGAAACAATAGCAATTACAAATCCGGGCAAAATAAAATTAAAATTTAATAGGAAGGACTCAATAATATAATAATAAGCCCATAATCCGACCATTGAGATCATCGCCAAACCGAACTTCTCAGGTGGTGAAAAAGAAAATATTTCCGAATCGGCAAAGAAGAAAAAAGTGTATAATTGGGCCATTTTGTTTAATGACAGAAGAAATCCTTGAAATAATAACAAAACTACTTTCTCGTGCCGTTCAAACTTCATCCACGAGCCGAGCAAGAGTCAATTATGAAGTTGGACAACAGGTTTTTAAATATGGCATACTTATTAATTATTAGCATCACAATCTAACACACCTGACTGACATAATCAAAACAAATAAAATGAGATGTCTTACACTCAAGATCTGAGTTACTTCAAGTATTAAAACCAGTTTCAAACGTAGATAAAACCAAAATGAATTAATCATCTTCTCTGTGAAAGAAAAAACTATCAAATTTACGTATTCAGTAGAAATTTTAAGTATCAGCGTTTAAAAAATGCAGCAAGAATGGGCGAATCTGGAAATCCATGAGATTCAAACATTTGTCAATATTTTTAGGAAAAGTATTAGTTAAGGGGATGTTTTTAACATAAAATCAATTTATTGCGAGTAGATAAGAAATAAGCTCTTGCTGGAAAAATTAGACGATCAAGGTCTAAATGGAGACTACTTGTTCTCTATCCTCCTGTAAAAAGTGCAAAACTTGTCATTTTGTACATAAGCAAATCCTAAGGCTTTTCAAGTCGGGATCATACTTCGTTTCTGTATGTTTTCAGACTTACTGACATCCGGACAACCTCGAAAACACATTTAAAAACACAACACAACACATTATCCCTTGAGTTGTCGGTACCAACTTTTTGCTTCGGAAGCGCTTCTGCGAAGGAGGATCCGATCGTGCGGTAACGCCTCGACGTCGACCTGATGTAGACGGTGGATCTGAAGACGTGACCGGCTCTGCGGCCTTCCATAGCAGAACTGAGCCCCACTTTGGGTCCGCCCGGTCCCACCTCGTAGCGAACACTGCCGGCCGGCCGAACTCAAATTACTCACCGGGATGGAATCCCCTCTTTGGGCCCCTTTGCCACAATTATCAAAGATTTAACAGAAAACATCATAGGAGCCGCTAGAAAAGGTTTCTATGACATAATAGCAGGTAGGACGGGTAGAAGGATAGCATGAAAACGTTTGACCTTGGCCATGCTGAAAGTGACACAAGCAAGGAACACAGTTAATTGTTAATTGAACAATTGAGCCTAAGTTTGGGTCCAAATAACAATGTTATGATTATTGTTTAGCCGATTATGCACCATCCATATAATAAGCATTTGATTCTGAGAGAAATTTTAAGAAATAAATATTGGACGGCGATGCACTGATTTTGCTATTTGTTTTGGGCATTAGAGGATGCCTATTCTTTCTGTAGATCGTGCTGATCGGAAAACCTTGGGCCTTTTTGGTGTCCTTTGTGATTTACAAAATTTATAGCCATAACATAACACTATCAATAAACCAACATTATAAAAAATGCTAGTGTACATTGACGGTCAATGTAAGAGCCCAAGCATAGAAAAATCGTGGCGAACAGGGGTTCAAAATTTGTCACAAAATATGAAAATGCCACGTTGCTCGTCTTCGGAAATTTGAAGCTAGTAGAATTTGCGTTCAATCTGTGGACTTAATCTTTGAAAAATCTACATTAGTGGCTGTCTGTTGTCATATTTATGGGAAAAAATTCGAAAACTACCACTTGTCGCTTGTTTTTTTTCAATTTTTTGACCTCAACTCGTAAAAATTCCAACCAATTCATTCACTATAGGCCTCTACTATTCAGTATAAACTTAACCACTGAATTTATTTACCGAAGTAACCATTAATTAGACATTCGTTGCGGGCAGATTTTTAACTTGGCACTGTGTTTTGAGTATTTGAAATTTAAAAATTACTTGATTGTAGTGTTTGTACTTAATTCGCAAAAATTAGGAAAAATCCCACGTTAGTTTGTTCACGGTTTTTAAAAAGAACACATTTATTAAGGTCCTAGTTACGAGCCTTTGAGATGCATAGAAGGAACAGAAAATGGTTAATTACAAGTTATAAGTCTTCAAGGTTTTTAGAAAGAAAACAAACTTGGAAATTACAAGTTAGCAGCCTTCGGGGTTCAAAGTAAAAACAAAGACTTTGTGAATTTCGAATTAGTAGCCATAGGGATTCATAAAAAACACAACTTTGTAAATGACAAGACAATAGCATTTAGGGTTTACAGAACGAACACACGCATTGTAAATTTCAAGTTAGTAGCCACCAGGGTTCTTCTAAAGAACATACACTTTGTACATTTCAAGTTAGTAGCCAACAAAGGCTTTGTGGATTTCACGTTACTACCCATCAAGGTTCTTAGGAAGAACAGAAACTTTGTGAATTACAAGTTAGTCGACTTTAGGGTTCATACAATCAACACACGCATTGTAAACTTCAAGTTTCAAGCCACTATTCAACAAAGACTTTGTGAATTCAGGTTCGTAGCCTTCGTGGTTCTTAGATAGAACACAGTTTTTGTAAATTTCAAGTAAGTAGCCTCCAGGGTTCTTAGAAAGAACACACTTTGTAAATTTTTAGTTAGTAGCCAACAAAGGCTTTGTGAATGCCATGTTACTACCCATCAGGGTTCTTAGGAAGAACAGAAACTTCGTGAATTACAAGTTAGTAGCCTTTAGGGTTCATACAATCAACACACGCATTGTAAATTTCAAGTTTCAAGTCAATCAATAAAGACTTTGTGAATTCAGGTTCGTAGCCTTCGTGGTTCTTAGATAGAACACAGTTTTTATAAATTTCAAGTGAGTAGCCTCTAGTGTTCTTAGAAAGAACACACTTTGTAAATTTTTAGTTAGTAGCCAACAAAGGCTTTGTGAATGTCATGTTACTAGCCATCAGGGTTCTTAGAAAGAACAGAAACTTTGTGAATTACAAGTTAGTAGCCTTGAAGGTTCATACAATGAACACACGCCTTTGTACATTTCAAGTTTCAATTTTTTTTTTCAAGTTTCAAGTTATTATTCAACAAAGACTTTGTGAATTCAGGTTCGTAGATTTCGTGGTTCTTAGAAAGAACACAAACTTTGTAGATTTCAAGTGATAGCCTCCAGAGTTCTTAAGAAGAACACTTTGTAAATTTCATGTTAATATGCATCAATATTCTAAGAAAGAACGTAAACTTACGAAATTACAAGTTAGTAGCCTTGGAGGTTCAAAATAAAACGATATACTTTGCCAATTTCGAGACAGTAGCCTTCGTCTTTGTAAAAATCTTTCCTAGTTTATTTCGTAGTTCAAAGTTTGTATTTTACTCTCAAAATGTGTAAATTTTAAGTTTTTGGCCTTCGACTTCAAAAATTCATTTTTAACTTTTAAATGCCTTATCAAAATAGTCTAGTTTTCCTTTTATACTGTGATATTTACGTTTATTAATATTTTATGTACATTACATGTGGGATTCTTTTAAAACATACTTTATTCAATGCATAATGAATGTCTGTAATTAGACTTAATTGACTCCGTCATAAAGCCAATGTCGACAAATTGAATATGATGGGGAATTCTTCTTCATCAGCGAGTACCACCATAATTTTGTCCTTTCCAAGATAATATTCCTTAAACTCAAAACTTAAAAAAAAACAAAAAAAAAACACTGAATTAAATTGAGTAATAGACTCCTAGTCTTTATGAAATTTTTGAAGTAATATTTACGCCTTTTTTTGGTAATCAATTCTTGTAGTACATTTCTTTTTTTTTTACAAATACTTTAGCCTAAGTGTTAGCTTGTCGTGACAGGATAAGACCCGTATGAAAAAGAAAAGTAAATGAATTTTAATTGATTTTTTCTGGGTTCGCCTATTGTCGCTTCTTTGTTCCAGCGGCTTTTGTCTTTCGGACCTCCTTTCATCCTATTCCGGGGAGGATGCCTTGTAAAACATCGGGTATTTAATAGCGTTTTTAATTAATAACCAGACGGAAAGCATTGCCAGAGAAGGGTGTGCTGCAAATAGTGAAAATAGACCGAGAGGAAAATTTTGTTGTCATACACGCCCACAGGTGTTTGCGCAGAGAGAGAAGAGTGAGTAAGNAGGTTGTCCAGCAGTGGTCTACCAGATAAATTTTTACACCATTTCACAAGTTCGTTCTGAAATCACCCACACCTTTGGAACTGAAACGCCGAAGGCTTTGCCTTCCAGAAAAACACTTTTTCCACCTAGAAAGCATGAATTGTCATAGTTTCTCGTTTGGCCTTTTTGTAAGTTATCATCCTAGAAGTTTCTTTTTTTTTGGCCGAGTAACTGTCCATCGCCGTAATGGCCCTTGGGTTTTCAGGGTTCCATGAGCGTGTCAGGTCGTCCTAAGAGCTCATTTATCCAACAAATGGGACAAATCTACGTTGAAAACTGTAAAACATTTACAAGAAGACGTGGTAACCCTGAACTGACAGTTTACAAGGTTCTTTTGTTTCAAATTAAGGACGATAATCATGGTCATTTATGTTATATCATAAGGTGGTAGATCGTAACATTTTTATGTAAGAGATGAGGCTGCTTGATTTAAATATATTTAAAACAAGGTTCACTCACCGATAGTTCTTCGCTCCTGTATGCAGTCAAGGTCTGTTCGTCCTGCAGCAAGACGCAGAAGTAAGGCTCCCATGTAAGATGCGGGATTTTGTCTTCTTTCGAGGACGGCCTGTGCCCCAGGGGTAGCTCTTTGTCTGCAAAAAAAGACAGATTGTAGAAATTATTTTACAAAACGGTTTAATGCAAATCTTATTGAGAGTGCGGGGGCAAAGCGGTTCGAATCGGCAGAACCGCTCCTAAACATTGTGCATTCACGTAGGAAGTCGTTATGGGCCGATATATAAAAAAGAAAAAGGATCTGAAGGAAAAAAAATATATAGAAGATTTAACTCTTAAAGACTTGGAATGAAGGCTTCGGGTTTTATTATACAGCCGAGAAGGCGTAATATTCTCGTTTAGTGCGTGAACTGCCCTCTGCGCGTAAATCCTCAGGCTTAGGCGTAAAAACCGACATGTATTCGAGTGGAAAATGAACATTGCTCATCTAACCGCAGGATGAATCAAGACAAGTCTCAACCGTTCGCGTATTGCACATATTTTTTCTTTCTTCTTCTTGTGAGCCGGTCATTAGACCGCGAAATAACACTTTGTGAAACACGTGTTTCGGAAAATGGTCTGTCGATGATCTTTTGATGAATGGATTTTTTTCTCCACTTCTCCTTCACTTTCACAACCTGTAAGGGTAAGTTATCACGTGTGAACTAAAACTAGTGAAAATACTGTATAAAATGTATGCTTAGGATCAAGAAATAAAATCTTAACGATACTATCGGATGATCCGACAAGATATATCAAAAGAAAAAAAAAAGAATAGTAAATATAATCAGCTCAGAAAGAATATTACAATTAAAAAATTAGCATAAAACATTACTCGGTAAAAGAAAATTCTGCCCTTACTTTGTCCCATTGTTTTTACCAATAAATATTTGTTTATGTTAAGTTTTAAATTGGGAATATCAATTAGAGGTAAGCACACTTAATCCTTAATCCAAAACAAGGATAAAGGATTTTTCAATGTTTACTTTTTACGGAATTTAAAATGTTTATTCAGTCTCATTTGAATTCTGGAGGAATAAACTGTTGTCCATTATATTTAGTGGTCTACCAAATTACTTCTTTTAATTAATTTTTTTACGTAAGGTTTTGGTTGAATTGAAAAAGCTAGTGTCACGAGCGGGATTCGAACTCACGACCTTCGGCTCAGTACGCCGCTGCTCTAACCATTTGAGCTATCGTGATTTCTTTCCACTAGGTCACCAACTCCCCATATCAACCAACCACCTTTCGAATTTTCCCTCATTTTTGCCATTTTTCAAATGTATCATCAGGATTCGATTCTCGGCGACTCATGAAGTGGCCAGAGGGAGCTTTTGTGAAGTTATACTTCGTTTTACTTATTAAATCTATTATATTTCGTGCTCCCATTGACCAAAGAAATTCTTTCAATTCATTTATCTTTTTACGCAAGGTTTTGGTGGAAATGAAATGTTGGTGTCCGAGTGTATCGAAATCATGGGAGCTCAAGTGGTAGAGCAGCGGCGTATTGAGCCGAAGGTCGTGGGTTCGAATCCCGCTCGTGACACTAACTATTTCATTTCAACCAAAACCTTACGCAAAAAGATTAATTAATTGACAAAAGTGTTGAGTTTTCATCTTTGTTTGTTTTTGTCTTAAGTGCTGAGGATGTTGCGCGTGGTGTGGCACATGTTGATGATGATGGTCCATCAAGTATGCGACTGTGGCCATCGGAGTTTCCTTCGAAACACTGCGAGACGCCGTTAGACGTGTTCGAGAAACTGAGTTCTACCATAGAAGGCCCGGTTCTGGGGTAACAGAACCACAACATGATAGTGTTTTGACTTTGACAATTTTGCTAAACGGGCACCTTACTGTTGTTCAAGCGATTCAACAGCTCCAGGAAGTTCGAGGTGTCCAAATTTCTGAACGCACTGCATGAGGAACAGTAAATCAGTATGGTCTGATGGTTTTTCACCCAGTAGGAGGACCAGAATTGACCAGAACACTGAGATGCACGACTCGCATTTGCTCGAGAAAACAGCCATTGGTCTTTGGACGATTGGTCTGCTGTACTTTTTACAGAGTGTAGATTTGCTCTACGATCTTCGATGGGCCTGAAAGAGTGTGCAGTAGGCGAAATGAAAGGTACGAAGCCTGTAACTTTTCCCAGAGCTAACCTTTTCAACATAGATCAATGATGGTGTGGGCTCAAAGAGTTGGTTGTTCGTGGAGGTTCTTTGACGGCCACTCGGTTAGTGTATTTAACCCATTTTACCAACTTAGCTGAATTCTGACCAGGATGATCAGGAAAATACTATCTACTTGTATATACCTGCCAGACAGTGCAAATATTTGTTTAGAAATTAAGGAATTATTAGAAATTTATCCGATGACTGCGTAAAAGATACGTGAGATGTAGCTCATGAATTAGTAGGAGGGAATCGAGAAAATTATTCTAACGTAAACTTGATTTCGTTGTTGCAGCGTGAGAAAACAGAAAAGTCGGAATATTATCCAGGAAATGTATAATTTTCAGACTCATAAAAGATTTATTTTATATGACAGTAAATTAATTTTGCATTTCCAACCAGGATAGCCGCGAGATCGTTCCCAGGACGAGGTTAATGCCTCAGGTGGCACCAATGGCACACACTCAACCGATTAACTATAATTGGAGGGCTTTTTTAAATACAATAATTGATTCGATTGTTCTGCGGCTTTCTGTGCTATTTTTTTGATAGTTTAAAAAACTTTACCGGAAATGTTTTCTATCGCGTGATAGAGCAGTTTTCTTCGAAGGAGAAAAGACCGCACCTGTGAACGTATCGTTCTTGTTTATATATGCGACAAACAAGAGATTGTTCTTTTTTGCCAATACCAGAAAATCGACCTATTCTTAAATAATTCTCATTATCATATAAGGTAGCGCGCATAAAAGGTGAATGAGATCACAGGCGAATTGCGGCATCCAAGGCTCCTTTTACTGCCGATTCTTTCGCTTTTGCCGCGTCTGCACATCTGCTCCCCTCGGCCCCGGTGAATGGACAATAAAGACAACAGCTGCTAATTTATCACTAATTAAACGCGAGGCGGCAAAGGCCGGCGGGTTCTTTGCCCGGTCCGACCCGGAGGGAATACCGATTGGGTGAAGAAATCTTGCTTTTATTTGTGTTTTATTTAAAACTTTTCTACCTCCCAACTTTTTGCACTCTTGCCTCGCAGTTATGAAGATTTAAAAGATCAAATTGTGAAGTATTTTGTTTAGTTCAGCGAAGTGGACCTTTTATTTTGGATATGTCCGGTCATCCTGGTTCTTCTGTCCTCCATTGTTACTACATACGCTAAATTAGTAGTAATTCCATTATATTTTGTGGTCCGATTGACCAAATAAAGTCTTTCAATTCATTAATTTTTTTTATGTAAGGTAGTGGTTGAAATGAAAAAGTCAAGAGTCACGAGCGGGATTCGAACCCACCACCCTCGATACACCGCTGCTCTAACTACTTGAGCTATCGTGACTTCATCCACTGTTGGATCCTCTCAGACTTTTTCATTCAATCTGACCACGAAATATAATGGAGTACATCTTCACTAACAGCTCTCCGTGGTTAGATCCTCTTCATATGTCACCGAGAATCGAATCCTCAATACACAACATTTTAAAAATGGCAAAAAGGAGGGAAAATTCGAAAGGTAGGTTGTGATGGGGAGTTTGTGTCTGAGTGGATCGAAGTGACGATAGTTCAAGTGGTAGAGCAGCGGAGTATTGAGCTGAAGGTCGTGGGTTCGAATCCAGTCCGTGAAACTGACTTTTTCATTTCAACCACTGCATTCCATAAAACGATTAATTAATTAAAATTAGTAGTAATGTTTAAAATGTATTATATAGATTTGCTGACTTAACTTCTATCATTAACGAATATTATGACATATTTTATCTAGATACTCAAAATGTGATTAAATACTGCAATAAAGGTGCCAGGCCAAGGAATCATAAATTTGGTACAACATATAGATCCACAGATACAGCTTAACCATGTTCAAAGTATGACCGTAAGATTTACAGCATGGTTTGGTCTTTTTTTAAGGGTTTCGGGTTGATCCAGAAGGCGGTTCTTTCCTCCAGTCCGACCTAAACAGGTCTATTGTGGAACCCCTTAGCCATACCTCGGAAAGTACGTTATTCCTTATAAAACTGAGCATTTTCCTTGGTTCCTCTTCGTGGATCTCCTTTGGTATGAGCAATGTTCCGCCGAAATGGCTCGTAAACGGGATGGCTAGGGGTTCTGCCGTTTATCCCAACACCTACTCCCTGTTCCATCTTCACCCCATCTGTGTGCCATATTAGGGCTCTTTCATGAATCTTGGAGCCACCTTTTTTCAAAATGTATCTAGTGTCTATGTGCACTTGCAAGGGTGTGTCAAAGTTAACTTTCCTCTCATTTTGTCAGACATCCTTGTAGCCATTTCATCAATTTTAATTGTTTTTAAAATATTTTGGTTGCTCCTCCTTAAATATGGTTTTATTTCTATTTATCTCAGGAGTCTGTTGACATTCTCAAAAGCCCTCTTTTGTACATAAACGTGTAAGGATGGGAGGCCGAGTGCTGTTTTCATTGACGTAGTGAGCGGGAATGCGTTGTCCCAGTAATAATGAGACATGATAGACTTTGTACTTTTTGTAGTTCGATCTGTTTCTCCTTATTTAGTGTTTTTAATCGACATGCTAAAGCTTCAAATGTGCCAAAGGATGCGTAACCTGTACGCCTTGGCTTTATGCAGGATGTTGCCTATTGGCGTTTCGTCAAGGGTTATACGAAGGTACTTTATTTCTTTGGAAAAAGGCAAGGCTTCCCCTTTTATAGTGGGAGCATTTATTTTTAGCTTCCTTCTTTTTGTGAAGTGTTAAGCTTAAATAAAACATTATCTACCATAACATCACGATGATGAGAGGTATACTATCGTGATTTTGGTATTCCCCAAGCACTGCAGCATTTCGTACTTTTCCTGATCCCTTAGTTCAGTACGATCGACTCGATCCTGATTTAAGAAGCGGTTCATAATTGACTGTCATGAGCTCTGAGTCAAATTTTTTATCATCCGTGGGTAGAGCGAT